TTTCATTTTAATCCAATTTTATTATCATTATGTTCTGTGACAATAAATATTTTAACATTATCTACATCTTCAATGATTATAGATTCTTTCTCCCTTATGTTAGCTAGTTCATTAATTATTTTTCAATGAGTTTTTTCTGAAATTAGATGTGTCTATTAATGGTATTATCACTTAAGAAAACGGTTGCTGAGCACGATGGGCCATTGAAAACAGTTTCTCTAACTTCCCCCCTTAGTATTCCATAAGATTAATCGAAATTTTATTTTGTTTACGTAATCTAAAAAAAGGACAAAAAATTCGATTTTCTCTTTGAATTATACGATATCAATATCAAATTCATATTGAAGCCAAGATAAACTTATGTAATTATTCTAAAAATTGTGAATTCGTTAATATCACGTGATATCTTACTTTGTTAAGCTAATTAAGGGGTCAGTAAATAAATTTGTAATCATTAGTGTCACGTGATGTATTACTTGAAGAGTGTGCATGAAGTTTTACTTTGTCGAAGACATTAAGAGGTCAGTCTAGATTTGTAAGATAAACTTTTCTTTGTATTTTGATGTCTAATCACAATCATCTACTGCAAAGACCAGAAACTAAACTCCTTAATGCGTATTATTTTACTTCAAAGGTATGCAAAGACGAATCTTACCAATTGTATAATCCGAGGCTTTTAATACAATCTTTTCTGATAGAAATCGCGTGATGCTCTAAAAAAAGATCGAAAATTCGTATCATGACAATTGATTTCTTTTGAATTATACAATATCAGTTTTTAATTAATTCCTGAATATATCCAAGCCAAATTTGAACTAATTTATGCTAACATAAAAAGCCACTCTAATTTAAAGTTCAATTCATTATGTATATAAATTAAGTCACCAAAATTAACAATACCAAAAAACCTGTTCTTGTAATTTTCGTATTGCAGATTATATAGAGTAAGCCAAATAAAGTTGCAGATCTTATTAAAAAATTATTGATATGAATCGATTATTTTATTAAATTATATAATGACTTTATTTGCTTTGACAAATCACGTATAGATTATTGTAAAATATTATATGCTACGTATTAGCAGTTAAATGTTGAATGGTTAATTTTCATTAAATTATGATAAAAATAATAAACAAACAAATTAAGTATCAATGAAAGAGTAAAAAGCCATATTTAAAATTTATATTTATTATGATTAACATAATTTAATTTTTGTTCAAGTGCAACATAATTTATTTTTGGTTTATTTGTTGATTCACTGGCCAAAGAATCTTCGAAAGTAATTGTATCTTATATAAAAAAAAAAGATTAATTACACTCTATTACTATTTTAATTATAATTTCTTACCTTGAGAAGCATCCTTATTTATTAAAGAATCCAAATTGTTAGATTCATTTGACCACAAAGAATTCAAAAAATTCAAATAATCATAGTAAGTTTTTTGATTTGGCGGAAAGGGTAGGTCTCTTAGTTCAAATGACATTAAGATTTATTCGTTTTGTGAAATTAGGAATAAAAATGTTAATTGAAAATTTTGAACTACCACAAGAGTCAGTCGATAAATTTATAGTATTGACAAATCACGTGTAATTTTTGTATCTAAATCATGACTCAGTTGCTGAATCAACTTATTATTTACTGAATATAAAAAAAAAACATATAACCAAATATAAAGTATTATAATTTAAGTTCAGTATATGCTTTTTGTTGTAAGTAGAGATGTGATCCGTTATCCGTTTTCCTATTTAAAATTACGGATGGATATCCAGATTTTTTTATATTAATGGATATCCAGATCGCACCTCTAAAATTGTAAAAATACTATGTCCAATAATCTATTTCAACAATATCGCATTAATACACCACTATTTAAAAAATTATATCTGATACATACTGATATCAGATTTTACTCTATAAAAAATTTATGCATTTAAGTGTTACACAACTGATGCTTCACCCGGTGTGCAACATTTAATAACAATTTTGATTCAAGAATTTCAAGAATGAAAACCAGATAGAAATTAAACAGAATTGTAATATAAATTTAGTTACTTTATCAATACATATTTAAATGCAGTACTGTGAATATTAAAAAAAAAAAAAAAACTAGTTAATCGAAATGACAATATATAATATATGTAGCATGTTCATTTTAACGCCAATATAAAAATCGACGATTTACTCAAAAGCAGCCAAATCTGGCATTAACATAAAAAAAAAACTCTAATAGACTTTAACACGAACAAACTTTGCTAAAATTTCTTTCAAGAACGGGAAGTATTTTTTTACATATCTATATTGTTAAAAATAATACAGATACTCACTATTACAAATATGTTAAAAAAAACAAAGATGGATTTGTGTAAGAACCTGTATTCACAACCTGTAGGCTGTTTACGGTGTGATGAAATAAGCAAATCAATCCATCTTGGATGATTATGTTACGACCGGTGGGCTAACATAATCATCGGTATAATCTTTTATAAATGTTGCATGATGATTATTTAAATATGATCTGACAAAGAAAAAATATACGCCAAAATGACCAGGAAAAACCGTGATCCTAAAGAATATTTGTTGTCGATTCTAAAAGAACATGTTAAATTTCTTAGTAGGATGATGAAAAAAGAAATCCCAGACAAAATGCTCACTTTAATTATCGAACGAATAAAAAGTATCAACCAACAAATTGTATTTGTAAACAAAAAATTCTTCGATTACCAAAAAGCCATAACCGAATTTTAAAACGAACAAAAAGCTTTCAATAGACAAATTAGAATGTAATATCATTTTTTTTTTATTAAATTTATTTATTTTAAAATAATTTTCATATTACTATGCTAGGTTAGAAAATAAGATCAAGAAATTGGAAAAGACAATCAAAAAGAAAGATGTAGAAATTGGAAAGAAAGATGAGGAAATTGAAAATTTACATATCATGATCAACACCCAAAGCGAAGTTATCGACAAAAAAGAAAATGAAATTATGATACTAGAAGGAAAAATGAGCAGATTGCAAGTTCGATACGATGAATGTGTCGACAGCAATATAAGCTTAAGTTATAAGGTATTGAATATTACAAATATAAATTTAAAAATAAAATTAGATTTAATCTTTTTTTTTTAAAACTTTAGCTAGAAATTGAACATACTGAAGTGGATAATTTACGTACTGAAGTGAATAATTTACAAAATGCAAATAATGAACAAACGAATTATATTCAAACTAAAGATAGAAATTTGCGGAAACTTGTCGATAAAAATCTTAAGCTCGAAAGCGATAATGTTAATCTTAAAAAAAAAAATGAAATGCTGGAGTTATTAATTGAAAAGAGAAAATACGATGGTGAAGAAGACTAAGATGAAGAAGACGAAGACGAGAAAGAGGGAGTCAACGATTGGAAACAGCAAATTTTTTTCTTGCACAAGATCGTTATATAGAAATTGATGGAGATTTTTGATCAATGTCGCTATTTTCATGTCAAAATATGAATTTTTTTCTTATCTGATATGCATATAATTAGAATTTTTTTTCTAAAGTGTAACTTGTTAATGAATAAAACATTATAATTTGAATTTTAAAATTTTAAAATATATCATTTTTTAGTTTAAATGATGAAGTTTAGAATTGGGCTAGAACAAAGAAAGAGGCAGTATGAAGAAGATCTTACAAGAATTTATGATGCACATCAAAACGCGATGGGGATAATTAAATCAACTTAATAATTCACAACTTGAAAATAATCGCTTGCAACACGTGAATATATTTTTAGAAACTGTGTTACAAGAAACAACAGGGTTACAATAATTGATTTTTTTTTTATGAAACGAATTATTAATTTTGGTTTATTTATGATAGAAATTTTAGGTTAGATAATATTCAAAAACTGCAAATAAATAAAATTCTGAGCTCAAAAACCTTTCATTTTGTACTAATTTTTTAATATGAGATGATGGCAATAATTTATGTATCTGTCAAATCTTCGACAACTTTATTGACACAGCCTTGACCTTTCTTTTTCGGATTTGATGATTAAAATATCAAATAGGGTTTGGAACCGTTTAACCACATAAAAATTTTTATAGTGCCGGGCCGAATTATTTTAATCACGGGCCAGGATAATTTTAATGCCGGATTAAGTAGTTAATACGATTAAACAATTAAATTAAGAAAATTTTAAACGGTTCCGATCCCTAATATCAACTCAACTTTGTTTCTTCAAATTCGAAAACAACTGAGTTTTTTCAAAAAGATTTTCAAGTACTAGTTTGTATATAAAAATTTTTTTATATTAATTTAAAATCTTTTGTAATACTTGCGTGAAAATAAATGATCAAAAATTAGGCACACGTTCTTGACTGGCCCATAAAGCACATCAGTTAAAAAAATCTAAAGAAGCGATTAATCTAGCCTATACTAGAAATAAAATTTTACCAATTTAGTTTAATAATTTGATTTCGTCGTTAGAAATGATAGCATTTTACCTTCGTACCCAAACTTCATTCAAACCTCATTCGTTATTCTAATTAATTTGTTGGAAAAATCGACTGTGAGTAAGACTACCGCCGTATAAGCGTGAAATAACTCTTAGGGTATAATTTCTAATTTTGGCCTAAATTAAGTCTAATTCGAGCCACTATTCAAAATAACGCCCAAAATTTTTCCAATCGATTAGTTGCAATTAATAGTCACATGTCTTCAATAAATTTGATTGGCATAATAAATAATCACGTGTCTTCTGTATCATTACAGAACCATTCTGATTGGCTAAAAAATTCTACAGCTTGTGTAATTAAAACAGATAGGAATGTACCCGATCTAAAGAGAATCCCATACATGGTGTGATCAATTAAAATTGAAATTGTTTATATTAGTTTTAATTGATCACACCATGTGTGGGATTCTCTTTGGATCAGGTATGTTCCCTCCTTTTTGTATAATCTTGTTGGCATAGTAATAGACATCCGGTTTTTGGCCCGCATTACGGTTAATTTGAGCTGAAAACTGTTAGGGATCGCATGTCTAAATAGTAAGGTTCACAAATAAGCTTGCATAATTCGTGCGTATAATCTTGTTGCTATAAGAAATCATTCCAACCAAATACAGAAATAGTAGGATCACAAATAAGCACCAATTACAAATAAAACATGCGTAATTTCGTTATCTTGGGAAAATTGCACCAATTGAATAGTAAGTTTCACAAATAAAGCATCTTGTATAATCTT